GTTCCCAATCAAGTTCTAACAGACAAAGGTCGCTATCAGCGGTTGGTTGGGAGATTAATCTATTTGTCCTACACAAGGCCAAATATAGCTTATGCAGTGAGCGTTGTAAGTCAGTTCATGCATATACCAGGTAAAGAGCATATGAATGCGGTATATCGAATCTTAAGGTACTTGAAGAATGCTCCAGGAAAAGGGGTGTTGTTTTCAAACAATGGTGTTTCTAATATTGAAGGATACACGGATTCTGATTGGGCGGGTGATCAAACCAACAAAAGGTCCACGTCTGGTTATTTTACTTTCGTGAAAGGTAACCTTGTCACATGGAGAAGTAAGAAACAGAAGGTCGTGGCAAGATAAAGTACCGAAGCTGAATTTTGCGGCATGGCTCATGGTGTACGTGAATTGTTATGGATAAGAAGTGTACTAAAAGATTTAGGGATTGAATATACATGCCCTATGAATCTCCATTGTGATAATAGAGCAGCCATTGAAATTGCACATAATCCTGTACAACATGATCGTACCAAACATGTTGAATTTGATCGTCATTTCATCAAGGAGAACCTTGATCAAAAGATTATACAATTTCCATTTGTCCGGTCTGAAAGTCAGTTAGCTGATGTACTCGCAAAAGCAATTTCAGGAAAGATGTTCCACGGTATAATCAACAAGTTGGGCATGATAGATATCTACGCTCCAACTTGAGGGGGAGTGTTGGCGTGAGCTGTGCATGAGCTGTATATAAGATTTAGATTAATTGATTCTAGATATGTTTAGATTCCTTTAGAATAGGACTAATTTATTTAGTTTCCTTTAGAATAGGTTTGTTTCCTTATTTACAGGATATAACTTATAGGTCTGTTGTATTCCGGACTTGGTTCCGTGAGGTTCGTAGTGGTATCTGTCTTGTTGTCGTCCTTTAAATTCCACTTGGTTGAGTTTTAGGATGTTTATGGGCTTGTGTTGAACAGGTGGGTTAAGCCTTGGTCTTTATCCTTGTTGCCCAGGTTTTTGGTGTTACGCTCGAGCGGGTTATTCTGCGCTCGAGCGGAGTTTGGTTTCTAGTCTAGCGCTCGAGCGGGGGTTCTGGCGCTCGAGCGGGTATTGCACACCTCCAGTATTTTCGAGTGTCTGCAAAACTTCTGCAGACTTGATTTTTGCGCTCGAGCGGATTTGTTTACGCTCGAGCGGTGGCGCTCGAGCGGGTCGTTGGACGCTCGAGCGGGTAGTACTTCCGGAGTATAAGTTCTGGGAGGTGGAAATTTGCGCTCGAGCGGGCTGGTTTTGGCGCTCGAGCGGAAGTGCTTTATTCTTGTGTCTTGGCGCTCGAGCGGGTCTTATTGCGCTCGAGCGTGTCCAGAGTTTTGTTCTTGGCGCTCGAACGTCGTGTTCTCCGCTCGAGCGGGTCATACGTATATGAGTTTTTGGGGCACTTATGTAATTTTATAAAAAGTTGGGGTTTTTATTTCTATAAAACCTAGATGCATGTTTGGCATGAGAAAGTGGAATTAATGTTGAGACATTAATGAAAATGGAACCTAAGGGTTGTAATGTGAATTATGGAAAATGCCTTAATTACATTGGTTAATTAATTTGCATAATTAATTATGAGACATGAAGAATTGATTTGGGAAGTCATGGGATAAAATGGTGTAGTTGGATTATTTATCACTCACCTAGTTGGAATGTCGATTACATATCCATTGTTGCATTTATTTTCTGTATCGGAATAACTGCTTTGGGCTATCGGTGGAGGATAGTCGTGATTATTGTAGACAATGCATGATGATTAGGCAAACTTAAACTAATCACTAGAATGTGTCATTGAGATTGATGATTGAGAGAATACATTAAATTTATGTATTGTGTGATGATGTGTATAATTGTTGTTTATATGCATTGTGTGTGTTGGAGGAGATAGGGGATGTACTCCACGGTTTAGGGGAAGATAGGGGATGGACCTCTAAACCGGATGTGTTGGGAGGAGATAGGGGATGGACTCCATAGATAGAGCTCATATGCTTATCTATTAATGTGTTGACAGAGCTCATATGCTTGTCATTGGAAGTGTGATAGTGCTCATATGCATATCTGTGGAAGTGATGATATAGCTTGTATGCTTATCTGTTGTTGTGTGATATAGCTAGTATGCTTATCTAATATGAAATGGGAAGTGTTTGATATGAGTTATTGTCTCATATGAGTTGTTTGGCCAGGTTCTGAGCCATGGATGTAATTTGGGAATTGAAAAGGAATTGGAAAATGAGTTGTAATATGAACTTGTATATCATAAAAATGTAATATGTGATAAGGGAAGGTACCAGTGTTGACCATCTATCAACTGCTAATCTTTTAGTCATTGTTCATATTTGGTTTAGTGTATTTCTACTGGGCTGTGGCTCACCCTATATGGGAATATCATTTTCAGGTACAGGTAGCATGCCACCTCCAAGGACATAGCTTGGGAGGCTAGAGGCAGACACACTTTTGTCGTTTTATTTTGATGTATTACATGTAATTCAAGCCAAGGGCTTAATGTGTAAATGAGTTAGTACTCTTTTGTTGTAACCAAGTGTTAACTTGGAAAGCTGTAAGCCTTTAGGGCATTTGTTTTTGTCGTTAACATGTAATACTTTTTGTAATGAAACTCTGATAAAATGAAGAATGTGGAACTTTTATATATCAATGAATGTCTTTATTGATGGGTTTTTAGTTATTTTTTTGAGGGCGTTACATAACTTGTATCCATATATATTGTCTTACTGTTGAGGAATAATATATACAGAAACCATTATTTCACAGGCGGCAATAGCAATGATCTTAGTGTTGATAGTGGTGGTAGGCGAGATATTTTGTTGAGGTGATGGTGGCGATAGCAATGATTTTGGTGTTGATAGTGGTTATGGAGTGGTGATGAAGACAATGGTGATGATGGTAATGTAACGATAACTTTTTTCAACAATGATTTTTTCTTCTTAAGTGCAAAACATTTTTCATTTTAATGAACTTTTTTTTGTGTGACACAACATCAAAACATATAAAGAGCATCTTTAAAAAAATAAAAGCATTTTATGTTTTTGTCAGAATAAACAAAATCTAATTTTACTAAGATTTCAACATGAGAGAACTTGAGGGACCTATAAGGCTCACCTTGGGCTTGATTTCGATAATCTAAACTGTTCCTTTTGTAAGGCTATCAATGTAAAATATTCATGAAAAAATTTAGTTCAATCCAATAATCATAGTTTTTTTTTTTATTTTATCACTTTTGTCTCCAAAAAAATAGACGGCAAATATATTTTTGAAATTGACCATTCATTTTTTTAGAGACAAATGAGGTAAAATGAAAGGGTTAATTATCGAATCGGTCTAAATTTTTTCTTGAATAATACATATTAAGAAATCTACAAAATAAATAATTTAAATCATCAAAACAAAATCTATAATAAATCGTACAAGATACTTAAATGATCCCAGAATATGAGAGAAATCCAACTCTTTACTAAGAAAATGAACTTTCTCCGTGACGAAATTAATGGCCAACAAACTGACCATCATCCTATGCCCAATTGGGGTACGACTGTGGTACCAAAAGTGGTTTTTGGGTACCACCATACATGAAAAAAATTTGTAACCATTAGATATAGTAGATTAATTTGAACCATTCAATATACACATTTGTTCACCTAATCATTTGTAATCAATTATATTATTTGATTATGTTGGATTTTCTAAATTTATAAAATGATTTGTATGTCTCAGCTAAAAATATTAAAATAAAACATAAAATTTATTTTATTCTTTGTGATTTGTGGTCACTTTATTTATTATGATTTAAATATAATCAGATAATTTCTATGTAATTTTAAACTGAAATATCACTATTAATTTTTTTTCATTCAAATTAATGGAAAGGGTATACATATGCTATATTTTAGAGTGAATTTAATTTTTTAAAAAACTTAAGTGAAATTAACACGACGAAAAGATAATTTTATCTCATCTTCTCCAAATTTAAAATTAGATTAAGATGTTAATAAAAATAAAATATTTGATCTAAACTATATAATATAATCAAGAATTATTTGGGACATTGATTTATAAATCTCTCTTCACCTACTTATATTCTACTTAGTCGAAATTATTTTTTTATGTTTCAATAAGTCCTATGGATACATAGTTACCAAAATACCTCTAATAATAATATAGGGTGAAACGTTAATGTTCAGATTGATAATATGAATGTTCCATGATGTGAACATTCACTGTCAAATTTATTTAATGTGAATGTTCACATCACCAAGTTGTTAAGAGTTCAACAAATATTTATAAGGACAAAATTGTTTATAAAATACCTTAAATATGATAAAGATTTGATGGATCAAATGTCTAAAATAATAGTACTTATTGGGAATACCAAAATATTTTATGAACTAATTGGGATACAAGTACTCAATAAAAGATTTTCTAATAAATTTCTCATTGAATTAAAATATAAAATAAACAATGATTAAAAGATTGATCTAATATATCTCAAACCATAATAATTTCATTCTTTATTTCACAACCATCAAATTAACTACAAAAAAAGTGAAAATTTATCTCAAACATAATTTTTTTAGCCAGATTAAAATGGCTAAAAAGTCAAAATATCAGGTTAAATTAGCTCATCTGAAACGAGAACTTACTATATAAATGAGTTTTGAAAAAGAATATTGACGATTTTTAATTTAAAATAAAGCACTCATGAAAATAATTTTTATTTATAAAATTGGCACTATCAGCTCTTTCAAGAGATTTTTGAATCTCTCGCAATCCTAAGGACTGAATAGAAATTGGTTTTAATTTTCAAATGAAAATTTAATCTTGAAACCATATGTATTCTCATGTTTAGAAATCCGTTTGTGCTAATTTAACTGATTAATAAATAAATAATATTTTTCTTTCATGTAAATATCCTAGAGAGAAAGAGAGGGGGGAAGAGAGAGAGAAAGTGTTACATGGTGACAACATGGCATGTGGTGTTATCGGAGGTGCAGTTACCACATTTGACAGCATTCTGAGACGAGTCAAGATCAGGGTGTTTGGCCCAACCCAATTCTCCACTACATGGATCTACACTGAAATTCCAATCATTCTTTCCCAACGACTTTCCTATTTCCTTTAGAGCTTCCACTGCAAAAAGAGAAAAGCACATATTAATATTTTTATACTTATATATAAAGAATCAGAGACTCTTTACCAAATATATATCTCCTTCATGTAATTAAATTTTAAATTTTAAATTTTATAAATTTAACAACACGTTACTAACATTCTAAAAAAAAACAGCACGTTACTAATATTATATATATATATATACGCATACATACGTTCAGACAAGGGAAGACGAGTGGCTTCGGAGGCAAAAGCAGCCAACAAAATGATTACAGTGAGTGAAGCAAGAAGTCGAGACGACATTTTTTTAAGTGCTTGAGAGAACACACAACTTATTAGTAAGGGTAATGTTATATAACCAGCAAATGCACTATATATATTTTTAGTTGCGGTATTTAATTATATAACTTATTATATTATTAGTTATGATTTATTGTGATGTTGATTATAAAATTATTTTAGTTTTGATGTAAAAGTTCTTTGTTATATCTTACGTGATTTTTTGTTATAATTTATTTTTTTTTTAAGTTATAACTTCCATAATATTGAGTTATGCCATTTACGATAATCAAATTCATAAATGGCATAACTTGCATATGGTATTACTCTACATATAAACATTTAAAAAGTTAGGCAAATTACATGGTTATTTTCTGTAATTTGAATCTTGTGTATTTTGGTCTTTATATTTTTAATTGACTTGATTTTTATTGATATCACAGACCAGTTCTAGTTCAAAAAACTACAAGTCAAGGAGTTCAAGGAGCTGAGTCGCGGCCTCATTGCACCTCACCTGTGCTGATGTCATATGAGAATATTTCTCAAATCGGTTAGGTGGTTAGGTAGTTATCAGTTTGTTAGATGGTTAGAGTAGTTAGTTAGACTCCCATTCGTATATATAAAGATGTGAGTTATGTACTTGAAGGTTATGGAAAAAGGGAGATTATGAAATAATAATTTTCAAGCTTTTCTACCATTTTTATTTTTATTTTTAATTTTTGTATTAATTTAGTCCAATTGACAATACCTATTAAGGTTATTGATGAAAAATGATCACTGATTTGATTAAAATTAACTTATTAAATTAACTAAGTTTACAATTTTTATACCTTAAAAGTATGAATGACATTTGTTGATTATGCGCGCTCATTTTTCATAAAAAAAATGTTAATAAATGTAATTAATTTAATTAAATTAAGATAAAATTCTAAATTTAATGTTAAAATTCAACTAATTAAAATTATAGAACAACTAAAGTATAGCACCATTTATATAATTTAACCTAATTTTTTTTTTTATACAAAATGATATAACTCATTTATAACTATTCACTATAATAAAATAAAATAAAATAAAAAACCACTACTATGAACCATAATTGTATATTGTTATTGTCATATTATGATTTTTTTTTAATATATAAAAAATTTGTATGTTAATAATTTTTACATTTGTAATTCTATAACTTAAGTTTGTCTCCTAAGATTCATTTGGGAAGAAGTTATTAGTTTGATTTTTTAACTTTTTGATTAATAATGAGAAATTTTTAGTCCATATTGATAAGCCATGAAAAGTATTGCCGTGTTTATTATTCTTTACATTAATTTTTGATTAAGGCTTGAGACCTTTTGTGGGACTAAGCATTAATCAAAAATCAATGTATAAGTTCCCAACTGATGTGGAGAAAGAGTATATTTTTTTTTTCTCTTTTTCTCATAGGTGCGTGGAATCGTGAGGGTTGTGAGGGGTCTATATCATAACTCTTGACTTTTTCATTCCATATTAATGAGACGTGAGAAGTATTGCCCTGTTCTTTTCTGATGTATCCAAAAAAAAGAAAAGTATTGCCCTGTTTGATTATTTTTTACATTGACATGGTCCATGCATTGAGGCCTACAACATCTATTTTTGAGAAAAGGTATGTCACTTGTTTTAGGCCATATTATGATCTCTTGCGCAATTTTAATTATTTTGATTTTAATTATGAATTTATAATTTTATTTTAATTTAATTTAATTGATTATAAGTTTTAGCATTTTTTTTATGAAAAATATGTATATAAGTGTTATGTGTCATATTTTTAAAAGTAAAATTATAAACTTACTAAATTCAATGAGTTAACCACAACCAATTTAGTAATAATTTTTTTATATAAAATACTAATGATATTATCAATTGGACCAAATTGATACAAAATTTAAATTTAAAATTTAAAATTGAGCCAATTAAATTTAAGAGTTAAAATAAAATGTATGTATCACCAACATAATTTGCCCCTTACTTTATGTCATAATTTTTTATTTTTTTTTAAGACACTACAAGAGATTGCACTTTTTGCGACCAAATTTTTAGTCGCCAAAAATCATATTTGTGTCGTTGAAAATTTTTCCCGACTAAATAGTTTGGTCGCTGGCTTGGTCGCCGGAAGACTGTCGGGGAAGGTATTGGCGACTAAAAAATATTTAGTTGCTGAAAGTCCTAAATTGGTGACTAAACAATTAGTCGACAAAAGGAAAGGTATTTTTTTTAGTCGCCGAAAGTCGGCAATTGGCAACTAAATATTTAGTCGCTAAAATTTAGTCACCCAAAGTTTTCAATAAACGTGCCTTTTGTTTTAGCAACTAAAATATTTAATCGCTAAAAACGTGGCACTCCTTTTTAGCAACTGTGGGTGTTGATTTCCGACCACACAACCAGAAAGGGAACTCAACTGGAGAGTACCGGCAGAATAGATTAAGCCCGAACAACCTGTCACAGAAAGATAAGAATCTGGTGGTGGTTCGTCCACCCAGGAACACTCCGACGATCAAGTCAGTAATCAAGTATCTCTCAAAGATAGCAAATCGTGTTTAACTCACAAGAAATAGCTTATTGCTTACCATATATCACACATACCTCAAATCCACGGGGGCGCACTTCTTTTATAGCCAGCTCTGATCTGATCCTTGTAGAAGCTTCACTTTAGTAAACTTTGGCTTAATGCTCATCCTGGACTCTCAGCTAAATAGGGATAAACTCCTTAAGAGCTTTATCTTTATCCAGACTGAGATCCTTCATTGTTCTAGGACTTTTGTCCCTTATCCACTCATCTGGAATTCCGGTATCTCCGCAGATAACCTCAACCTAGCCGATATCACCTCGGCATCAGGACCAGGCCATGTAACACCTCAGCTGACACTCCGGCGTCACCTTGGCCACGTACTATCATTCATGAAATATGTCCCCACAACTGCCCCCTAGGTTCTATTACCTCGGCAACTTGAGGTGATGGAACCTACATCGTTTCTTCCTATAGAACGTCGACTAAATTTCATTCTTTCCTTCGATCGAGATCATGACTCGTTGATTTCAAGTACTCAAGACTCAACTGTCCATCTCTATCAATAACCAAGAACCAAGTTCCTTGAGTTCCTTAATCGAGATCGTTTCCCTAGCCGAGGTTTTCGATTCATTAAGTCAAGAACTCCAAGAGTTTTATCTGTGCATGAGCTGTCACGCACGGTTTTCTCAACCGTTTCCACCACGCGTCCCTTTCTCATTGGTTCATACCTAACATGCGCTATCAGGTTGTGTTGTTTCTACACACGTCGCCTGACAAACACGTCGTCCAAAGCATTTCATTATGATTTTCCGCCTTTTCGCGTTTTTGACAAAACTCTTCCTTCTCTCTTCGTCTTTTCACTTTTGCAATTCACAATTTTCCCTTATTTCTCTAACTTTCTCTCTCTAACATTTCCCTTCCAAACTGCCATTTTTCAAGCTCTCAAGCTCTGTAACTACCTTTTCCGTCACCGCCGGCTTACCATTCATCATTCGACTCTGACCATTCAACTCGTTTGACTCCGACGCATCTCACTCCGGCTTTAATTGGTAAATCCTCTTATTTTTATTTTAACTTCGATTCTCCACTGTTTTTTACTATTCTTGTCTATGCTCTCCCATGCAACTTCCATTAGAATTTTGCTATATGTTTTTGTGGAATTTGTCTCTATATTTGTAATTGCACTCTGCTTCATGCTTTGGTCACAATTTCTTGTTTCTTGAGTCTGTATCACAATTTATTCCTGAATTCAAGAGTGTGCGTATTGCTTCTGGTTTTTGCACACTGCCTTGTACACACTCACTCATTGTTCTGCGAATTTATGATTTTCTTAATTCTTGAATCTCGGTTGCGTTTTTGATTTCTGAATCATGCTCTTTTTTCTGTTTGTCTTGTTGTATTTCCAAATTTTTGCATTCAATTCCTGTTTCTGTAGTTTCTAGGTTTGGGATTTGCTTTAGAACCTTATTCTTTAGGAAAATCAAAACGAATTCCCCTTAGATCTTCAAAAACCTTGACACCAGTGCCTGTTTAGGTTTTAGCCAAGGTCTTTAAACCTATATCAATCATTATGTTGCCAAACCCCTTCTTGCCGAGATAATGGGTATGTTTAGGTGGAGGTAGACAGCTCAGAAAAACTAGAGTTTTGTAGGTGGGAGTTCTCTATTCCAGCCGACGTCCATTTGAGGTTAGCTGGGGAGAAGGACTCTATCATGCCTGATGAAAACTCTATGCCCTTCCCTATTATTGCATTCATTGAATGTGGACTTCGGTTTCCCCTAGATACTCTCTTCCGAGAAATCCTTCACTATTACAAACTCAACCCCATGCAACATGCCATAAACTTGTATAGGGTTATCAATGGCATAATCGAACTAGCACACCAAGAAAAGGCTAAGATCACATTAGCTTATATCTAATTCTGCTATACCATGTGTGGCCTTAAGTCTGAAAAAGGCTAAATATACTACTTTAAGCCCAAATCCACCGCCTTCAAACTAATAACCGACCTCCCAGACTCCAACAAGGGTGCTGGAGATGATTACTTCATCGTCTCGGGCAACTGGGAGTTTGCTTCTGATGACGATCTTCATCTCCATCCTCTGCGCCGAGCAATTTTTAAAGAGGGTGATGGTAAGACTTAGTCATCCTACTGTAATTCCATTTTGGTTAAGGCTTGCCAACTCATTCATCTTTACTAATGTTAGCTATTTGTTTTTTGCAGTTCTTCCTTAGCCAGCAAAGGGATTTCGGTAATCATACGTCCCCAGCCGAGATCTAAAGAAGCTCTTGGATCTCCCTGTGTAGAGATGCAAGGCCCCTCTTCTGTTGAATTACAGACCAACATACAAATCGGCTTTGCCCGACGTCCCTCGGAGAAGTCAAACTCCACCGTCTGCCTCAACCCCTCCAGTCAGTTTTTCACTAAGAGCTGATTAAGCTTCCTCTTCTGATCCAGTTGAGTTGCCATCAACCTCTGCCTCCCAACTTATACCAATATACCAGAGCTGACGTCGTCGTTGTGCCCCAGTAAACGTACCAACAGGCAGTGTAACAACCCGAAAATTTAAGTTGTCC